TTGCGTCCGGCTCTCTCTACCGGTGTAAGAACAGTCATCTCGTACGCGTTTGTCTATCCTTTACGTTTGTTTTGTTGAGTCTGTTATGTGACCGGGTTTAGGTACTATTTGGTCGGGTACTCACGGTTTTGTTTTGTTGTCACGGTCGTCAGTTACATTTACCACCAAGTAACAAGGTTTGTTTCTTTTTCAGGGCTGTTCCACGGCTAGGCGCAAGAAACTTTTACTGGATGAGGATCGACAAGCAGTAGCACACAGAAAATGCACACAGTCTTTTAGGTAAGTATAAACAATATATCTGTATTTTTCAATACTATGTGTTTTGTACACATCAGTATACATATATTTGTTAAAATAAATGTATTTAAATTGTATTTGAGCCAACAGAATCTTTGTTTTTGCTGTACTCTGTCTCGCACGCCCGCTTGGTACGACGATTCCATTAAGACTAACGCCATGGGCGCCGCGCGCCTTCTTCTCCTCGCGGGAACTTCTTACGCCGCCGCGAAGTAGATCCCTACTTACTTCACCGTAACTGCGTCGGGTCCTATTACTAAGAAGAGATTTTTTGTGTGTGTTTTTTTTGTGTGTGGCGGTGTGCTAAGGTGTGAATGAACTTTTAGTATGAATGTTTGTGTGAGTGTAGTACGAAGTGAATGAGCAACTTAAGAGTGTTTGTGTGCATAGATGACATGTGCGTGTGTGTAGTGTGTGGTTGATAAGTGTATTTCTCCTTAAGGAGCGTGTTGAGTTTCATATGTGAGTGTCTGTAAAAATGTGACTTAACGTGTGTGTATGTGTGTGTAAACAGTATGAGTGTTGGCGGTATCTATGGTGTATGTATAGGTCCTTATTGAGTATGGTAGTGTGTATGTGTGTTTGTATACGTGTAATATGTATGTGTTCTTTAAGGGTGTTTGTTTGTATGTTTGGGGAGTAATGAGTGTGAGTTTGTGAATGCTGTATGATAGTTTTAAACCCTTAAGTGCTATGTTTTTGTGTACGTGTAGTATACGGTCAAAATGCCCCTTAATGGACAATATGTGGTGTGTGTGTTATCTATGTAGGTGTGTGTGATATAACGTGTGAGTCCACCCTTAATGAGTGTTTTTGTTTTATGTGCCGTTACTGGATGATCGTGTTAAGAGTGTTTACTGTGTGTACAAGAAAGGGTATGTGTTTGTGTGTTGTATTGCGTGTGTTTTGTCTCTTAAACATGTGTGTCAAAAATGTGTCCATCCCTCTTCTAAACATAAAATAACTCATTAACACAAAACTTTCCTTTTTACAGGTTGACGTAATCTTGCGCATTACGACTGTGTTTGCCAAATTGCTTAAGGTAAGTATCCTACTTGTAGGACTTAACACTAAACAAAAAATATCTTAAGACAGGTAAATAGACAACATAAATGAGTAAACTATACTAAGAAAACTAAACGTTAAAAACTTGGGAGCGGTGCACTTAGACACCGTTCAATTGGACACTTTGCAATTAGACACGTTGCAAATAGACACAGAATTTTAGACACGGTTCAATTAGACACGGTGCATTTGGACACGCAAGAAAATGCGCACCNTTCATTTAGACACCGTTCAAATGCGCACTGTTCATTTGTACACAGAAANATGCGCACCGTTCAATTAGACACCGTTCACTTGCGCACCGTTCGTTTGTACACAGAAAGATGCGCACCGTTCAATTAGACACCGTAATAGTGCGCACCGTAATAATGCGCACCGTAATAATGCGCACCGTAATAATGCACACCGTAATAATGCGCATCGTAATAATGCGCACCGTAATAAAAAGAACTCCTCAGCCAGGAGTCGAACCTGGAATTTTTTTTCGCAATATTTTATAAATTAATTAGGGGGGTATTCGGGGTCCTTTACATATATGTAATGCAAAATTAGCATTGTATGTGATTTTTAAAATTAAAATTTCAATTCAAAAAACTCACGTAAAAAATTTACACGTAAAAGCGTATAGAAAAATGTATTCTTACATTTATACGCACATTTATCCGCACAACATCCTGCGAACGGCTCTTTACGACCATTCATTTATTAGTTTAGAAAGATCAAAGCCCGAGATGATTCTCATTATTAATTGTTAATTCACGCTGTCAATAGGAGGCGTTATTACAGAATCATATGTACAAGAATATTGCGAGACAAACTCCAAGTGTCTCGGTAGTCTAACAGGGAAGGCGACGGCCCGGAAAGCCGGAGATTCCAGGTTCGACTCCTGGCTGAAGAGTTTTTTTCGCAATATTTTATAAATTAATTAGGGGGGTATTTGAGGTCTTTCACATATGTAATGCAAAATTAGCATTGTATGTGATTTTTTACATTGAAATTTTAATTCAAAAAACTCGCGTGAAAAATTTACACGTGAAAGCGTATAGAAAAATGTATTTTTACATTTATACGCACATTTATCCGCACAAAATCCGGCGAACGGCTCTTTACGACCATTCATTTATTAGTTCAAAATTTATATTGTTTTCTAAGTAATTAACTCTTATTTTGATACTAAATAATTAGTTAAATATATTGAAAATCAAAAATAATCAATGATTACACAAAGCGCAACAACACCTATTTGTATAATAAATAGTTGTTAATGCTTTGTAGCCTTTTCAAACACCAAGGGATGATTTAGTATAGTCCTGCAGGAAGCGCTGGATGAAGATCAGGTTCACATAGATTGACAACACTTTGTTTTGCACAAATCGTATTTAATTATCACAATGTAGGTGTGTTTAAAACTAATGACTTGCGCACTTTGTGCCGTTCTCGAATAATACTGCAGTCTTACAAAAATTAATGAATTTCCGTTTTACAAAATACGTTCTCTCAATTGTTACGCGATCCGTACTCTCCGAATGCTCGAGAGGAACTGCTGTTCCTTCTTGCTCGTTTTACTTGGTTCACTTTAGTGCCGAAAGTGTTGCACCCAGCTCGTTCAACCTAAGAGAAGAATCTTAGGCGTTTAGGATTCGTTTCCATGTGTTTTTACAGTTGTGACTTAACGCGTGTAATTTGGTGTGTGTATTTGTGTAGTGTCCGTTGTGTGAATAGTGTATGAATGGATGCTTATGCATGTGTGTAAGTATAAGTGAGGTATGGATGTAATGGATGTCTTAGTAGATGTTTGTGGAATAAATGGACTCTATATGTGTTCTTGTTGTGATTAGTGTTTGAATAGGTGTTTGTGTACAAGTTTAGTTATATATGTGTGTGTATGGATGTTAAGATTAAGGGTTGTGAACGTAGTATTCCGAATGTGGATGAGTGTATGTGTGCATGATATTAGTATGAACCCTTAATTAATTGTTTGTGTTTATGTGTAGAGTGAATGTAATCTGCGTAATAAAGGCTATGCGTGTTATGTGTGAACTCAGTATGTGTGTCTTGTGTGAATGGAGTGTTTATACGTGTCAAGCCAGGAGCAACATTCCCACACACATACAACAAAACTTTCTTAATCCTTATTTTTCTTTCTTTCAGGTCGCCGCTTAAACCAGGTAAGTGTATATTCATACATATATACATAAAAAGAAATCTTACTGACCCAATTTTCTTCTCTATTCAGGTCCGGGATCCAAACAAGGTAAGTATAATGCGACCGACGGCGAATGAAGAGCAGGTGCAGCTGCTCCGGGAGCTGCAGAATTTGCGGGAATGCGCACTCCGCACCGACACCGACGGCAGCGACAGCCGTATATAGCAGTCACCGGGCAAGGACAAGACGAGACGCGCGCAAACGCAAATAGACGCGATCATCCAGTACATTCGGGAGCATAATGACCAGCCAGACGAAGCTTCCGAATGTACCACCATAGGGCCGGATGACCTATGGTGGGAGGGGCATGAATCGTAAAGCCCGAGGAACCGCGGGCATACAAAAATATTTTTTTTCTTTTTCTGTTTGAAATTTGTGCGGACTTTTATCTACATAACTTTTTCAGAAAGTCTTACCACCTATCACTTCATCTTTCACAACGGACTTCTACATGTAAGAATTTCACTTGTTAACTCCAAACTTTTCAAGTGCGTTTCACGATGTGCGTTATTGCGTAAAACTTTTAAATTTATTGTTACAATGAAGAAGGCTCAAGTAAGGGCCGAAACGTTTGTATTATTATATAACTAAAAACGGCATGGTAATTTAATTGTATAATATAACTTTTTAAGAACCATTTGAGCTTGATACAGACCTTGTATATTTGTGTTTTAATTTTAATTCGTTACTACCCCTCGAGCGGTTTTATTGTTACCATATTACATTTATTTTCTTGCAATTAATTATCCGATTATTTTCTTTTTTGATTTTTTGTTGATGCATTACGTTTAAAGATATAAGGAAATGTTGATTTACGTTTTTAGTTACTTTGTTTGTTAATATACATATTTCTATTTTTTTATTTACAATGGCAAATTACATCAAGTAATCGGAGGGTTAAGTACAAGATATATTAGGTCTACCGGAAAGTTCTGTCCGTTTTTGGAATAAAACAAAATACAAATTTTTCTTAATTTTTTAAAAATAAGATATTTAAATTGCTCTCACGCTGGCAAGAAATCATCAATAATCCCGGGCGTTTTTCCTCCACCTTGTCGTGGTGCCCGGGCTTAGAAGCGATGAAGCAAAAGGGCTATACTGGCGGGGAATCCTTTGATTCCCTGGCAGGGTCACCCATGCCAGGAAGGCCCTTTGCTGAGCTCCTGTACTAAGAGAGGAAATAGAGGAAAGAAAACCTCGAATCAAAACCAGGGGTTCCCAGCCTCGCTTAGTACCTTTTGCCGGTGCAACTGGGATAGGGGAGTAAACCCTGACTGCAAATCCGGGGCGTCCGACCTCATCAGCCACGGTGCAATCGGACTAGGGGAAGGAAACCCTGACTCTAAACCCGAGGAGTCCGGCATCGTCAGTCTGGTCGACAACCGGACTAGGAGAAGGCTGCTCCGAAATTAAACCACTCTTCAAAATCACCATGGCGAGTTCCGAAGACGATTATGACGTACCGGCCCAGAGTGTTTGGACACTCAAGGCCCGGCGTGGGGGTATTGCCGTCCCAGGCACCCCTATGTCGTCATCTCATGATGGGCTACCCGTTGCCTGCACCGCAGGAGCGACGGGCGAAGTAGCTACTGCGAAGCGCGTGAACGTATTGGCGCTTGGAGCGCGCCGTATGTTTGGCGGGACAGCCCCTCCCAAGGGGACCAGCGCAGGAGGCGCCTTCCTTGGAGAGGAAGCGACCGGTATGCAGAGAGAACGTTCTCGTTCCCTTCTGCCACCTGACGTTTCGGGGTCTCCGCCGCCGTCGGACGACTCCGACATCATGGAGGTGGAGGAGTATATCTACCAATCCGGCCCCAGCACCAGAAGGGGTACGGGAAAGAGAGGGAGACCACCCACGACGGGTGAGTACGTGGGGCTGGCTGCAGCCAAGGAGCGCATCTTAGAGGAGCGCATCAGAACACTTGAAGAGAAGCTTCGGAGGCGGCGCGAATAACCACCTCGCGTTACAAGAAGGTGCGCGAAATGCTGGACGCCGCATATTCCAAGGGCTTTTCCTTGGTTGGGGCGTCTAGGCGCGAGAGCGCGGAGTGTGGGACGCAGGTGGAGCCCATCCCACCACCACCTTCGCTTGGGGCGGTCATCACCCCGAAGAGTACCTGTACCCAGGGGGTACAGACAGAAGAGAGGACTTCCGCTCCCTTCCTCCAAGAGGCAGCGGCTCTCTCAGACCTCACTGAGGAGCGGTGTATCAGCCTGTTGGCTGACCGGATCGGGGAGGAAATAAAGCGGGGAGAAAAGAAGCATCAGAGCCTCCTTCTATTCCCCCGAGGGTAGTAGATGGGGCCAGAAGCCGTAAGATAGCTGGGCCCCATTTTTCCAGAAAAGTGGCGCAAAAGGCGCCAGGTTCTGGGGGAGGTTCCACTAAGAAACCCTCCCCCAAGCGCCAGAAGAGCGGAGATGCATCCTCCCAGACCCCGAGCAGCTCCCGTCCCGGGCTCAAGTCCTCCAAGACAAACATTTAAGTTCGACTTGGAGTTGGTGGTGTTTTTGTGGGGTACGGGGTGAAGGGGTCATGGTCGCGCATGACACCGGGACCCAGCCTCCGTTAGGAGGCTGCTTGGTCACGGGTTGGGATCCGCGGAAGGTTCAAACCCCTCCTGACTTAGGTCACGGGGGGCGGGGACTTGGTGTGGCAAGTTGAAAAACTTGTCGCGCCATTGCACAAGTCTCCAGGGTTGGGCGATAAAAAGGAGGCTGTGGCCCCTCCTTTTCGCCGCGCTCAGTCAACGAGGATAGGGAGCAATGTCCTCTAGGACATGTTTGGGGACTCGGGAGGGCCTGGAAAAGTAATAGCCTTCGGGCTGCCACGGGCCCTCCCCTAAGTCCGGTGGAAGCCACTGAGAGGTTTTAGTGGGTGCGAGTCCCACACTCCCCGCCCATTTCCCCAAGGGGCGGGAGTGCATAACGCATTTCCCCTCATAAAAAAAAAATCATTAATAATAATGACAATTATGTTATTTAATAAAGTTTATTGACGGTAAGAAAAATTTGTATTTTGTTTTATTCCAAAAACAGACAGTACTTTCCGGTAGACTTAATATTTACAAATAAATTGAATTGCGTTTTTGGTTTAATTTTGCGTTATAGAAATTACCTAGATTCGAAGATTTACGCGGTTTTATTTACATCGATATATTTATTATAGAAAATTTCGGCTCTGGTTCTAAAAGCTGCCTCGATAAGGTTTAACGGCAATAATATTTATATGTAAATAAATATAGCATTTTCTGAAATTTTCCGGACGAGTAGTATGTTTCGAGAAGACTGGGTTGTATCGAACGGTCTTTGCACGACACCAAAATATTGAGCCCATTCCGGAAGATTCGAGAAGGAAACAAATAACAAGCGCCCGAAACTTCGGAAAAAGGACATATGGTGGCAAGGCCACGAATAAAAGACCGCGCAACACACCTATCGTGGTTAGTTTAATCAAGAGAACGGTAGAGTGATCCAGGGACCGGATTTAGAGATTGCTCAAAAACATACAGCGGCTGACCCGGGTCGGATTTGTAATAACATGACGACTTGTTTGTATTGCCCGGAGTGGTACTTTGTATATTTTGGTTAAAAGCGAACACGGTTTGTACGGAATAGTAAATCCAGCAATAGAAAGTTTTGTAAGGCCGCAAGTCCCGTAATTTGCGAATGTATTACATTGTCCGTGGAAACAATTATACAAACCTTAGTTATAATTATAAAAGTGGCGTATTTATTGTAAAATACTAGTTCCGCCAGATTTGGTTCTGAAAGTGAACGAGTGCGTCCAAATGGTCAACAAAGAGTTACCGGGAGCGCACCGTCTGACGATTGGTCAGATCGAGGAGAGCCCAGCGGGAATTTCATTTCTGGTTAGTGAAGCGAGTGAGAGGTATTGCGTATTGCGCCAATGACAAGGTGAATATTCAACAAATAGCAGATAAGCCTTAAGGCCGTTTCACAATAAAGGAAGTTCGGGCCGAAACAAGAATCCGGCCGGCAGTCAAATTTGATCTGTAGTATCAATCACGACGTCTATCCCGCTTCTAAAGTGTCAGCGAAACGACTGACAAGTAAGTCTGAAGTGATAACATCTTGTCGGCAGTGTTGCTAGATCGGGCCGGCCAGCACCAAGAGCACCAAGATAGTGGGGGCACGCACACAGCGAGAACCGCCGTCCGTGTGCGTGACGTCACATTTGGCTGTTCGGCTCGTGGAAGAGCGCAGACATACTATGTGTTCTGCCTCGCTTCCATTAAGCCCGCTACGCGAGCAAGACACTGAGGCTAGAAAGCAATGTTTTGTTGCGCGCTTGAAGCGTATGACAATATGACAACGCAAAATGCTTTTCCATGACTTATAATCTTGGAAAAAGTAGATAATATTCCTAATAAAAATGCGTTAAATATCTTAAGATGCATTTATTATTACGCTTTTATTAATTCTTATTAAAAATTAACTGCAATAATTTTAAAGTTTTTATAGTAATAATGTGTTGAGGGGCGACCTTGGGTTCGATGTGAAGAATCCAAAAATGATTTGAAATAAACGGCTACGTCGAACCGATCGCAGGATTGTATGCAATGATGTAGAATGATTTAGAACAAAACGTTTTGACTTTTTATTGAAATCTTCTTCAGTTGTACACTGTGTGAGTTATGTTATTTGACAATTATTATTGAGTGCGGTATTACATAAAATTGTTTTTTTTTATATATACGTACCACTTGAATAAATTAAAAAATAAATTAAAAATATGGAAATGAGTCAATTAAATTTGATAATAAAGTGAACAATCTTCACTATGTCATTTGAATATAAAATGTTGTTACTGTTGTTATGTGTTGTCTGTGACTGGTGTATGTCACTCTTATTTGTGAAGATTGTGTGCGTATGTGTTTACTCCATTTATGTGTGTGTAATTCAATTAAAGTTATGTACTATCTTTCGTGATCTTATCTAATAATTGTAAGTATATGTCATCAAGCGTTTCTGTATCGGTTATTAGATTTATGTTGTTTCTTTTTATGACAAGTTGTCGGTAGTAAAGAGAAAACCGACTGGCGACCGGGGACACAACCTTATAAAAGGAACAGATCGAGCTGCTACTAAAAGTGCAGTTCCGGTCACAATAACATATATTAATAACAGAAATATATAAGTACATACGCATACATCGTTTAACATCAATAGACTATTGTTGAATTTTTAATTTTATTCTTTACCAAAATCTACCGTAAACAAATGTTATTCTTAAGAGACCTAATCTTGTCGGTATCTTTACTACGGTATAACTTGCTCATGCCTCACAAAAACTTTGCTTAATACTAAACTTTCTGCCGACTAGAAAATAACCAAAACTTATCTATAAGAGGCGTCCATTCGGCCATGGCTTTAACCTGAGTAAGTATACTTAAGAGACAACAATTTTTGTTAATCATCAAAACTTAAAAAATCAAAAATAACAACTTAAAACCAAAACTTTTGCTTAATCAAGGCTCATATGCTTATTCGCATCCTTAGTGCGTAGACCATTTGTACAACTAATAATTCGCCTTAACTCTGACATTACTCCGCCAAAAAATGTCGAGCCCAGTTAATATAGTGCCGTGTGCTCTTTTCACGTTTCCACGCCGCTTGTGCTCTTAGCACTGCGCTCCTCTCGTCTAATGTCTTCCGGACGATCCTCGTTTCCGCCTCTTCGTTCCGCACTTGTGTTGCTCCGCCTGAGGTTGTCGGTGACAAGGTTAGGTTAACTCGCGTGTTTCTCATGAAACAAACGTTAGAACGTTTTTTTATTTTATTCACTTTGTTAGTGAAATACTACTTTGCTCATATCGTGTTGTATCGTGCAGGTAAGAAATATCATCTTGAACAAACCGAATCCAACATTTGTCTCATCTCCGCTTTCGAATGGGTCTTCCAAGAGCAATGAAGATCAAATCTCGCCGGCGGAAAAGTTGCTTCTACAAAAAATCATATGAAAAGAATTGGTGGAGACAATAAATAATGTAGAAGTTCGAAGAAAAGATCCTAATTCTCCATTATACAGTGTGAAAACATTTGATGCATTTCATTTGTAATTATTTATTGTTATTCTTTTTGGGATATAGTAATTCATTGCTAATGTTAGCATTCTCGGTTCCGCGATGTAAAGACTATTGAGGGAGATATTGTTTCGAGAATTGTCAGCTGTTATCTCTGGCTCGATNGCATTGTAGGCAAAAGTGAGAACTTTTGAGTGCAAGTGAAATACATAACGCGGAGTCATTAAAGCTTTGCGAAGCACTTTCAAAAATTGATAAAACTGACTTTGCAAGCAATACCGAGAGAAAATTTGCGAAAGTTAGCGAGGAACTACTGTATGTTTAGATATGTAATTTAGATTCAAATTAATAATCTTTATTACCTTCACACANGAAACCTGAATTGCTAAAAGGAATCTATGCTATGGGATTTAATGCACCTTCAAAGATCCAAGAAACTGCTTTACTTACATTACTGGCTAAATCCGTAAGTATAGCTTGTTTGAGTTTGATTATTTTCTAACATATATGTGCAGTATTTAAAAAACTCTTACATATGTTTGTAGATCACAGAATACGATAGTACGGTCTCAGTCTGGCACCGGATAGACATCTGCGTTTGTATTTGCCATGCTAAGTCGATGCGACAAAGAATTATCCGCAAGTGCTTTGTCTGTCGCCNACCTACGAATTGGCAATTCAGACTGGTGAAGTAGCTGCGAAAATGTTATGCTTTTGTCCTGAGATAAAACTAAAATATGCAGTCAGAAGAGTAGACAGTAATACACTTTTTGTTCATTTATATGTGATTTATCTTGTCTTGTTGCTAATACAATGCTAATGGATGTTTCAATTGATTTTAGTGGCTCGTGGGTCAAAAGTCACCGAGCACATCATTATAGGAACACCAGGAAAAGTGTTGGATTGGGGATAAAAGTTTAAATTTTTTGATTTGAGTAAAATATCTCTATTTGTGCTTGATGAAGCTGATGTAATGATCTCTACTCAAGATCATCAAGAGCAGTGTATTTGTATTCACAAGTAATTTTTCATCATAAACTTATACGCTCTTGTAATTTTTCGTTACAAAGTGTTACATAATAATAGTTTTTACTTTTTTTACAGATTACTCCCCCGTACGTGTCAAATGCTGTTCTTTAGTGCGACGTTACTTACAATCGACTATCTGCCGACGTTGCGAATAACAATCAACAAAAGCTATAAAAAAAAGAAACAAAACAGGCAATACCAAAGAAGTCTCCGCGACAACACAAACACAATAATTGCTGCTTGGCACGTCTCCACGCATCTCCAGGGCTTATTACTGTAATTTGTAATACTTAAGTATTGCTCCTACAACCGCTCAGTACCATAAAACCCCGTGAAGCACGATTCCAGCCGCTTGTATTACCGACTAACCAAATATGGCAGAAAACGTCTCCTCGCCCGCGAGAAAATTGTACTAAATAAACGGCGCGACTGGCCTCGACACAGAGCAACAGGTGCGCGGATTTGTGGCTCGCAGTAAACGTAAAAGCATCTCACCAGATTTCGCCGTCGTTTTTGACTTTGACGTTCGGTTCCATCCTTCTCAAGTCTGGTCGGAAAAAGCGAGGAACGTGATAATCCGGCAATGCGTCCGACGATCGAGACACCAAGAGAGCGAGGATCGCGATCGATTCGAGGTCGATACGCCGGGGTGCGCTAGATTTGCAGGGGTGAGTTGCAACGCCAATCAGGGCGCGGTATTCTGCCAAGCGCGGCGCTCCGGTTCGCCGGAGTTACTATTGCTCACAGCCGCACATTACAAATACTAATTTTTCGTTGTTAATGAGGCTAATTAGCGGCACTTCGCTGGCTCGATTTGGCGCGCTCGCGGGTAGTCATCTGCTCAGAATGCGGTGCATCCCGATTTTCCTCCCGTAGGAGCGATCTGCGGCCAGAATTCGCTGGATATTCGCCGCTTGATTTCCTGGTCGGTGACGCCGCCTATCGACGCTATAACTCGCCGTCCTTCCGTGTTTGCTAGCGCCCGCGATGTATCCTTACGCCGGGCGTGTTCCGTTTGACCACAGTACGATTCGACACCG